GAAGCTATAACAAAGGATTTGTGCCAAAGTAGCACCAGGGATCGCCAGAGGATTGCACACCTTCCAGGCGTGTCCCCAGCTCCTGAGACAGGAGTCCCTTGATTGTCCCTGGGGCTCTGTGGACGTGCCGGGGCTGCACGTGGTGCGGGGCCCCCTGCACGGATTCTCCACCTCGGCCCTGTGCTCCTGTAGGCCACCTCGGGCTGATCCCCGGGCGGGCGGGCGAGCGCTGGTCTTCTTGAGCAAGCACCTGGTTGTCCCGGGAAGGCGCTGGGCTGTGATGGGGCCTAGGGATGCCTGGATGCCAGGCGGCGAGACCCGGCACGCCTCCCTGCAGGGCAAGACGGAGCACTGGAGCAGGGAGCTCTGCAGGTTGAGTCCCCAGGGCCTTGCAAGGGAAGCCAGCGGGACACTGTGGAAAGGACGCCTCCAGGACACGCTCTTGGGGCACTCGCGGAGGCAGGTTGCCTTTCCAGAGGCCTTACCTGGCCATGCGGAGCCCTGGCGGTGACCCTGCACCCCAGCGCAGCCTGGGCCTCCAGCTGCTGGGGGTGGGGGTGGCAGAACACACGGGATGCCAACCTGTGCCCTAGCCCCAGGGTCTGGAACAGTTCAAGGCAGCACTGGAGAGTGGGTGGGTGGGTGGCTGGGGATCGGGAATACCTCAAAGTTCTGTGACTTCACCTTAACTGTCCCCACTGGCTTCCCTGGGAACTCGGCGGGCTTAGAATGAGACAGGCAGGAAAAGAGCAAAAAGCTCAGGGTCCCAGTTGAGGACACAGAAGCAGGTGGAAGTACCCACCACAGGCAGAGGCATCCCTGCACCCATGGGAGCACAGAGTGGGTGATGAAGGCAGAACCCTGGGAGAGAGGTGAGAGGGGATGTAATATGTGGATATGTGGTCAGTGGCCGTCTCTTCACTGGGAATGGTTGCCGACCTGAGCACCCCGTGGCCAGCACCCATCTTTCCAGGCCTCCCAGCCCCCAAGCCGCCCAGAGCAGAGAACCTGCCAAAGTTGGCTGCAGCCCTCAGGCCAGGCCTCCAGATGCCTCAAACCACCCTCACCTCCTCCCGCTGGCCTAGGCTGGGCTGGGGCTGCGACCCCACAAACGGCCCCTGCAGTGGGGCCTGCTCGGAAATTCCAGCCAGTCAGCCCAGCATGGAGAGAGGGCTGGAGGCAGTGAGTGACACTGGCTCCTACCCCTGGCTACATACAAGTGCAAATGAGATGCATTTTGGCTGATCAGTCCACTGTATTTTCTGCAACTTAATGTGTCTACGTCTTGTCAACTCCTCTAGTCGGGAAGAATAGCAGAAAATTTTACAGAGAATGTTTTCTGTGTGTGTGTGTGGTTTCCAGCTTCCATTCCATCCAGGGGGATGGGTGAGAGAGGAGACGAAGGGGAGGCTTGCTGACATGAACAACATTTGTATAAACCCTCCTCAAATGCAACTTTCAGCCACAAACAAGAAAGGAAAAGGAGATGGGAGTGGGTTACAGTGGCCGACAAGAAAGCTTGATGAAACTTAGGTGGGTCTGGCAGGGGAAAGTTTCCAGCAGTTTTCTTTTCAAGAACAAAATTCAATTGTATTGACTTGGGGGGAGGAGACAGAGCAAACGCCTTCCACCGGCTAACCCATCTTGAACCGTGTGTTTGGGTCGTTTAGTGGAGGCTTATGGGGGGGGGGCAGTTTTCTGACACCAAAGGAGCCCTATGTGAGTAACGTGTTTACTGTCCTCTTTCTATGTCACTTTCCAAACAATTTGCAAGTTAAGTGAATAAACTTGCCTCCAACTCTCACCAGAATCCCCCACCACCAGGTTTCCTGGAAAAGCAAGTTCTCTCAGACCTAGATGATGCCGGCCTTCTGTGAGGTAAGGTGGGAGTGATGGGGGTGGGGGTAGGACCAAATGGCCTCTGGAATCTGCCCAGGCCACCTTTGGGGGAGCTTTCTTCCAGCATGGAGCCCTGGGACCCTGGCAGGACACTGGGCCAGCTCCAGCCTCCACTCATGCCTCTCTTCACAGATATTTGCTGTTTCAGACTTGTGTGCAGCCGACCCCAGCAAAGGAAACAGCAGATTTCCTGAGCCCTTTGCCCCAGCCCTGGCCTGCTTCGCTACCCGCTGCCAGTCCCTGTGGTAGGCAGGCCCACACTGCCCGGCTTCTGGGAGCTGTATGCCAGCCTCTAGTCCCCTCTTCCCTGGGATTCTCAGGGTCAGCAGGGAATCAGTTGTTGACAGGGGAGCTATCCTGTTAAGGTCTGCCTCTGGGATCACCTGCCCACTCCCAGGGGTGGTTGCAGCTCTACTTGGAACCACAGGGTCTCATGGGGGTGGCTGACAGCCTGAGCCGGGCAAAAGGAGCCCCCAGCGAGGCGTGCCACAGGCCCACTTCATTCATATGTGGTTTGGGGACCTGTCACTTGTCCAAGCTGACCCCGCACCATCCAGTTACCTGTGGGGGATCCTTTCTCTGCTGTATTCCTAGGCTGAGGTGTGAGATATCCTCACTGCAGGGCAATTAGCTCTAACAGAATAGAATGGGGTGGAGTCACATGCTTCACAGGGAGAGCAGGGGCGGCCAGGCACTCTCAAACCATCCCCACATTTATGCTCCTTAGCCGAGGGGTCTGCTGGTCAAGAGCAGCTCAGGTTTCCGCGTGCAGCCTGGGCATTATACCACCCTGGTAAAGACATCAGAACCAGGTGTATGCTGGGGAGATGTCCTTAACACATTCACTGCCCCAACTCTCCCAGAGTCCCAACAGGCTGGCCAGAAGGGCTGAACTCTTGGCAAGGAGCAGAGGGGAGGGACACTTCCAACTGCCCCCTTGCTGAGCCTGCCTGCCTCATGGTGGCTGGTCAGGGCCCCTGCAAGCTGCCCTGTCCTCTCACTATGGATTCCCAACAGCAGTATGTTCCCTCCCTCCCTCCATCCATGCCTCATCCTCCCATACCAGAACTGAGCATGGATTTCCATTTGGGATAAGAAGGGGGTATCATTAAAGAGGCAAGGAGGCTGGTGAAACATCCTCAGCCCCAGTAGCTTTTTCACCAAGCAAATGACTCTTACTCAACTTTTCATTTGAACAGTCACTTTGGCTAAAACCATGTGAATCCATAAGCAAAAAGAAAAATTGAAACCTGGACCAAGTTCCTTATTTCTCCTTTGCCCCCTGAGTTCACCATCCCTCATTTCTTCAACTCCCAGCCATCTTGATATCCATGACCCCAGCTGAAGATTTATAAAACACCTGTTTCTTAAAATTGTCCAGGGCTCTCAGCATTTACCAGAATAACTGGAGAGAGAACACACCCTCCCCTCCTAGCCTGCCCCCCAATTCTGCATCCTCACCAAATAAACACCACGATCCATTACACTTTGCATCACTTCATTCGGCAAGAAATGAAGATTTCGTTATCTACCAGGAGTAAACATCGACTTTACAGAAAGAAATAAATTTAACTCTGACCATGGTCTACCTCCTGGAGAACTCTTTGGGAATATCATCTGTCTTCTTACCTCCTTTACTGGGGTGGCGTGCTGTAAAGATCTGATGTAGCAGAATTTTGAAACGGCTTGATTACCTGGAGCTGGGTTTGGAGTCCTCAACTCCAGTCATTAGTATACAGTCATTAGTAGTCATAATTGGTATTTAATTGCTTGATCGGATGGGTGCTTTATTGGTGACCAGATTTAGTTTCCCCCAGAAGTAGAAGTGGTCCAGGATCAGCAAAGGAGAATTTGCAGCAACTTTTTCAAGCAGAAGGAAAGTACTTGTGATATTATTTGCAGACATGTGTCTCACACATTTTTTTCCTGCCTTTTGTAAACTAAGAATAAACATTACAGATATGGGTTTTAATTTATCCAGATGAGATCATCAAGTACCTAGGGGATTTCATATATATGTGTGTTTTATATATATATATATATATATATATATACACACACTATAGAATATACATATACACACACTGTAGAATATATATACACAATAAAATACATATATACACACACACATTATAGAATATATATACACCAAAAGAATACATATATATACACACTATAGAATATATGCATTATATATGTATATATCATAAAGTACCTAGGAGGTTTCATACACACACACTACAGAATATATAAATATACACACACATGGCTGTTAATACTGAAAGGCAGAAACAAACTCAATACCAAAGCAGAAACAACTGAACCGCCAGCAAAATCCAGGATCTGAGCAAGTTCACTTTATTCTTTCGCAGGAAGAGGGTCAGCGGCGGCGAGGGAAAGTTGCCCGGGTCTTTGCAGAGGGACCCGGCGGCGAGGCGCGCCAGACCTTCCCACTAGCGGCCGCCTGGGCGCGGGGCTTTGCGACCCCTCATCCCTCATCACCCACCTCCACCACCACCCCCAACACGATCCTCTGTGCGGGGGTCTAGGTCTCCACCTGGTCCCCTTCTCAGAACCCTGCGGGCCGCAGCACTTTCTCCGCCAGGCACCGCCCCCACCTCCGTCCGCGGGCCTGCCGCTTTGGACTCACCCGGCGCGGTCCTTCATCCACTCCACACACAGACAGGAAACCGGCCTCAGCCGGGGCAACATCTGAAACCACACTTTGTCGATATCATCAAAGACCAGAGCGCACACTTGGGACTCTGAGCTCCCGAGCCCGCTTCTAGCAGAAAACCGGGTCCCCAGGGGAGGGCGGCCGGGGGCCAGATCCTCTCTCCGACCGCGCCGCCGGCTTTCTTATGGAAATGAACGCGTCGGGCCCCGCTCCCCGGCTGGGCTCGCGCCCTTGGCCCCCCGGTCTCCGTCGCGGCCGTGGGGACCCGGGCGCGGGGCTCCCCTCCGCCTGGACGGCCCTCGCGCTGCATTAAATATTCATGGAGATCGCTATTTTCTTAAAGGAGAACCCGCCGCGCGGGAAAGTTCACAGCCAAGGGCAGGCACAAAGGAGGTCGCGGCGCTGCGCGTTCGGACTCCGAGAAATGCACCCCTCTCCACGGCGGGGCTCGCTCAGGAGACACGAGGAGGGGCCTAAGGGACGGGAGAGCGCGATCGAGTCACTTTTCTTGGAGGGGGTGGAAGGAGAGCTGAACTTGGCGGAAAGAAAGCTAGCTCCCCGATCCCCCCTACAGTTAGACATGGGCCGAAACATCTTACGCGCCAGTCCCCGGGGCTTTCTTTCTTTTTTTTTCAAGGAGGCTGTTGGAGCTCCCTCCCCGGGATCCACCGGCACCGGGGCAGTAAGAAAGTTTGCCCGGCGCTGTTGGAGATGCGCACGCACGAAGTTTATTAAACCTCTTCTCGAACCTCAATTTCAGCGAACGGTTCCAACAACAACCAGCCCCGCACCTGCCTGCTGCCCCGCGAAGCAGAGGCCGGGCTCACGGAGAGCCGGCCGGCCTGTCTGGGAGCGGCGGGCCTGGGCGATCTGGGGGCTAGTGTCTGGGCCCCAGCTCCCACTCGCGCGCCCCGCGCCCCGAGGCCCGCGCCGGCCTCGCGGCTTCTCTCCCGTGAATGCAGCCGGGCCCCGGGGCCGAGCCCGAGTGGGTGGAGGATCGAAGGGGTGGCCGCTGAGCCCGGCGCGCCGAGGTCCCCGCGGGAGCGCCCCGCCCGCGCCCGGGGCCCTGCGTGCGGCCGCGGGCGCCCGGCCTCGCGCGCCCTCGCAGCCAGTCTGCGTCCGCCCCCGGCCCGAGGGGCTTTGTGTGCCCGGCCGGGCGCACCTTCGCGAGCGGTCGGAAAGCCTCGAGCGCCATCTAACGGGAGCGGCCGCAGCTGAGGCCGAGCGGAGGTGGGGACTGGCCGCGCGGCCCCGGGCGGGCACTCCCCGCCTCCTCCCTCGCCGGCCGGACGCCACCTCCGGCGCGCGCACCGCACACTCGCTCGGCAATCCGGAGCCCCGCGAAGCCCACTTCCCGGGGGCGGGGGCCGGGGGTGCAGCGGCCGTCTGCGGTCTCGGGACCGTCCCCTGCGCCATGTCCTCCCTCTGTGCGCCCCAGGCCACACGAGGCGGAAGATCGTCTCGCACCTGCCTGATAGGGCCCTGCCCTTCGCGCGTTCTCATTCTCCTTTTGGCCAGCGATGGAAAGTACCAAGGAGTCCCCGGAGGGAGCACCAGGTTCCGGAAAGAAACAGCCACATAATGAAGAGGTCTGCAGCCGAAGAAGCTTCCAGAGGGATGGGGGAAGGGCGATGGGAGAGGATAACGGCTACAAAACAAAATTGCTTCATGGAGGGCGGTTTGGTCCTGCAGGGCCTCTGGGGAGCTTGAGGCGGCCGCTTCTCGGGAGCTGCTGTTTGGAGAAGACTTAACAAGTCGGGGGTCCTGCAGGGGCCTTCGGAGAGGGCGCGGGGAGCCGGGCACAGGGAGCGACCGAGGAGAGAGAGCCGGCACCCCAGACGGCGGGCTGAGCGTCCCAGGCCACCGCGGAGGCCCGCGAATGTGGGCGGTACACGTGGTGGCCGTGCGCTCCTGTCCGCCCAGGGGGGTTCCGCAGAGTCTCGAAGTTGGCAGAGGGGCTGGCGTCCCTGAACAGCTTCGAAGGGAGGACGGGATGGGAGCAGAGGTGCCTGTCAAGGCCCAAACCGCCCTCTCCTCAGACCCCGCAGCAGCCATCTGCCCGTATGTTTCCAGTGTGGGTGACCTGTCTCCATACCTTGAAGCAAAGGGCCAGAGGCGGGAAGCAGGGTGGGCAGCCTGAGTGAGACCGCTGGCTTGGCCCTGGTGATGAGACCAGAGGGGCTGGAATCTAGATCCCAGGAAAAGCAGAGGATCTTCGGATCTAAGCCCAGAGATGGTGAAGGACTGAGAGGACTCAGTCCTTCCTGGGGACTGGAATGCCTGTCCCCCAACACCCTACCCCCACCCCCCAAGTATGTAGTAAGAGTAGAAAATGGTGTCAGATCAACAGTTTTTATTCTGGTAAAAGACACATGCAATTCTCCATCTTAACCATTTGCGAGTGTGCAGTTTAGTGGCATTAAGGACATTCCTACTGTTGTACAAGCATCACCACCACCCACAGGACATTGTCATGGTCCAAAACTGAAACTCTGTCCCCATTAAACACTAACCCTCCCTCCCCCAGCCTCTGGCACCCACCTTTACTTTCTGTCTCCATAAATTTGATGACTTTTGAGTCCATCGTATAAATGGAAGCATACAGTATTTGTCCTTTTGTGACTGGTTTATTTCACTTAATGTAATGTACCTGGTGTATCTTGTGTCAGAACTCATTCTTGTTAAGGCTGAATCATTTTCGATTGTGGTGCCTGCTCCAGTGGCTCAGGGGACAAGAATCTGCCTGCAATGCAGGAGACACAGGACACACAGGTTCAATCCCTGGGTCAGGAAGACCCCCTGGAAGAAGGCATGGCAACCCACTCCAGTATTCTTGCCTGGAGAATCCCATGGGCAGAGGAGCCTGGCCGGCTATAAGCCATGAGGTCACAAAGAGTTGAACAGGGCTGGGGCAAGTGAGCACACGTGCACACTTGCAAATCTAATGAAGTAATGCTAATAAGGAAAATTGGCTGTGGATTTTAGCAGAGTGGAAACACCCTGATGACTATTTCAAGCCTCTGCTCTTTCGAGTCCAGTTGTATAAACCTGGAGAAAATGGCCGAGAGAGAGGGGCACACAGACCTAACACCATTTATAATCATCTCCAATCACCTCCCTTTCTGATCACAAGCTGGAAAAATGGAAGGGCCATTGTATGAGCGAGCACCATTCTTTTCTTTGTTTCCAGAAGGAGACCAGAGATTCAGCACGCCTTAAGTCAAGAGGAGAAAAGACAGAAAGTGTGTTTGTCTTCTTCCTGGATTCTTTGGTTTATTCCACTTGGAAGAGATGCCAGTGTACCCCACGCTGGCCACATGTGGGGGCTGGTAGAAACCCCTGAAGTCCTTTTTCCTGAAAGAGGGCTGAGAAATAGCTAGTGTACAGGGAGGGAGTGGCTGGCCCTCCCCGACCCCCGGGCTGGGAGCTGTCTCTCTGCAGCTTACGCTGCCTTGCTCGGCCCTGGTCGCTGGTGCACTCAGCCAGGCTTATTTAGAAGTCCTCTGTGGCATATTTAGAAAGTGCCCCGTCCTCCTTTCCTCTTCCTTTCAACATTACAGGCTGTGGAGACAGGTCAGTATTTTTATTGCCCACATTTTAAGTGAAAATATCTAGCGTGGGCATATGATAATCAGTGGCAAGGACTGTGGTACCGGGGTCAGAGGCCCCAGCTCCTGGCCCATGCTCCACCTTGGGCCACCGAACCACACTGTCTCTTTTATCCAACAGGAGGGCTGGCCCAGGACACAGATGAGAGAAACCAGAGCAGCCAGTGTTGGCAGAGACCACTACTTGCCTTCTGCCGCCAGGCCAACCCTGCGCCTTGCTGCAGGGCCAGAGCTCCGTGGTGATGCTGGGGTTGTGGAGGATGGGGGCTGAGCACACCCTTTGGGAAGGCTGATGTGCAGGCACTGGTGTCACTGTATCTGGCCCTCTCCTTCAGTTGGAGCGGCTGCTCCCCAGAGAGAAGGATGCACTGCCCATCAGGGGCTCCGCAACTTAAGACAAAAGAAAAAAAAAATCACAACTGTGCCACACTCATGCATACGTAGTCGCTCCCTCTTCCCTTGTTAAAGCTGCTTCCGTGTGAAAGAGAAGATGCGGGGGGATCATGTCCTGGGGTTACTGGGGCTGAAGGCCTTCCGAAAGGGCTTTGTGGTGTTTGGATCCAAGCCATTTGTTTTCAGAGAGAATCTTGTTGGGTAGGAGCCTGCTTTTTCCATTTGCAATGGCTTATTAAGTATAAGCATCTCCCTTCTCTGTTTACTGAGTGATGAGCTCTTCCTCCAATGACCCTGCCAGGGGAGACAGCCAAAGTACATCCTCAACACACGGTTACCCCGCAGAGTGTCCTTCCTGTATACCCGGAGACCACAGGCAGGACTTGTGGGGGAATTGGGGTGTCTTCTTTTTACGATCCCCGATCTCCACTGATGGCGCCATGTCACTAATGCCCCCCACACCTCCACCTTCTGTTCCAGCCCCAGCGGAGAGACTGAAGGGGTACCTGGTGTAGCGGGGCAGGTCCTGGCTGTGCCCTCTGCCAGTGGCTTGCCAGGGAGGCCACGGCCTTGGGGCTCACTCACTGTCACTGAATCTCATCTGTGTTTCCCACAGAAGGCTGTTCTTCCTGTCCCCACCAGGCAGGACAAAGAGAAAGGCAAAAGTTTCCTTCAGCACCTGCATGCAGGCTGTTGAAAACCCTGGAAACTCATGAGCAGTGAAAATTAACCAGACACTGGCTGATTAGTAGCTGGTTGTCTAGCTGAACTGGCTGGCTTCTAGTAGGTCAGTTTAGTACGAGGATGGTCCACTGGGCTCACAGACCCAGCCTTAATGAGCCAGATTCCAAAGGTCAGAGTGAAAACAAAATCCTGCAGTACACAGTACACAGTACCCCGATTTCAGAGACTGAATTCGCTTGTAAGATCTGGTCTGGAAATAAGGATGAATGATTTCCAACTAAGTGGATTCTTTTCCCTCTCTGCCAATTTCTTCCTGGTGATCTTGAGAAAGCCTAAGACATATCATCGATTTTGTTACATAAATATCGTCTACCTGCCTATACCTCAGTATGGACCATGGTGAAATAATCACACCAAACTATTTTCAGCCTCTCTCATACTCTGGTGGAAGCTTGGTGCTTTTATTCTGCGTTCTGCTTTTCTGATGAGGCTGCACTGTAACTCTTCTGCACTTCAAATTCTGTGAGGGCTGCATTTAGTGCCTGGATCCATTCTTTACACTCGATAGAATACAGGGCTGAGGCAGGTGCTGTATATAGGAGTTGGCATCTCGTCTAAGGGTTGGGATTATTTAATCTGCCAGTCACTCCGTCCTTACCATCTCCTGAAGAAAAATAGACCTCTCCGATCGAATTACCCACTGAGAGAGTTCTGGGGTGGGAGGAAAAGACAGGTTTGAGCTCTGTTGGAGCACAAGATTCACTGCACTGCGTCCCATGATTTTTGTGTGTGTTACACCACACACAGTGCACACACACACAACACACACAGTACACACACAACACACACAGTATACACATTCACACACAACACACACAGTACACACACAGTACACACACAACACACATTCACACACAACACACACAGTATACAAACAGCACACACAGTACACAAACACACAACAGTGCACACATGCACACATAGTGCACACATGCACACAAAACACACACAGTGCACACACACAAAACACACACAGTACACACACAACACACACAGTACACAAACACACACAACACACACAGTACACAAACACACAACAGTGCATACATGCACACACAACACACACAGTACACACTCAGTACACAAACACACAACAGTGCACACATGCACACACAGTACACACATGCACACACAACACACACAGTACACAAACACACAACGGTGCACACATGCACACACAGTGCACACACACAACACACAGTGCACACACAACACACAACAGTGCACACATGCACACAGAGTACACACATGCACACACAACACACACAGTACACACACACAGTACACACACAACACACATTCACACACAACACACACAGTACACAAACACACAACACACAGTGCACACACAACACACATAGTACACACATGCATACACACCACACACAGTACACACACAACACACACAGTACACAAACACACAACAGTGCACACATGCACACACAGTACACACATGCACACACAACACACATAGTACACACGTGCATACACACCACACATGGTACACACACACCACACACAGAGTACACACACTCACAACACAGTGCACACACACAACACACAGTGCACACATGCACACACACAGCACATAAAACACATGTGTATGTGTCTTAAGTTGCATCGGGGCCCCAATCCCTGGGGTCCTTCTCCCCTAGGTGTCCAGGAGATGGGGTCCTTGAAGGGAATGTGAGCTGGCAAGGGGGTGAGGTGACTGCCCAGCCTCATCGGCCTCTGAGATGAAGTGTGGTTATCTCAGGTGAGTAGCAAGTAGAAGAGGTGAGAAAGCTGGCCTTTTGTTTGTTGGGGGCTTTGGCCGCACTGCGTGGCATGCGGGATCTTAGATCCCCGCCCAGGGATTGAACCCTTGCCCCCTGCAGTGGAAGCTCAGAGTCTTAACCACTGGACTGCCAGGGAAGTCCCTTTGGCCTTTTGTGTTTCTTATACATAATTTGCTATTTGTTCTCTCATTTTTTTTTCAAATGTTTTTTGGGGGAAAAAATCACATTACCCATCTCAGCCAGGCTAAGAGAAATCCCCAAAAGAAGTTTTCCCCACATTTGGGCCAGAACACTTCAAGATGACTGCCTAGCCTTTGGTGAGCAGACTGTGGCAAAGGTCAGGAAGTGAGGGGCATCCTCCGGGAGAAGGCACGGGTCCCTTCCTGTCCACGGGGACTCCTCCCGCCACCACAGCCTCTGTGCCCTGTGTTGATCACAGGGTCCTGTTGGTG